ACAAAAGCGTCTGCAAAGGCTGTAGGGTTTAAAAATCGGAGCTTGCTGAGCACAGAGCAGAAACGGGACACGAGATTGAATGGTCTCAGACTTTTAATTTTGCTAATTATGGTATGTTTGCGGCTAAACGTAAAATTAGAGAAGTCATAAAAATAAACCGAATAGGAAATACATTGAATGTAAGGAATACTAGTAAGAAGATAAGTAAAAATTACTTGTGCTTAATTAATAGACTGAAGGATAGGAGGGAGTTGAGCCGCCTGCAAAAAGGAGATAACTCAACTATTCTTTTTTTGTAATGAGATGTATTTACCCTATTTCGTGTAAGGTGATGAAGGACTTGGTTCTAATCATAGTCACTTCTATGTATTTTAGTCCACTCTTTCTCTCTCGCATTGATACCAAAAACAAAAAAAAGGCTCATCAACAAAAATGGACGTGTTTCCGACCTTGCGCAATCGGAGTAATGGTTATAACATGTATGTAAAAAGGAGAGATATGGGTCATCAAACCTTGATGGCCGAAAACAGATGTTAGTTTTTGCTGTCCTTATTATTTTGAGCCATCACTGCGGTTTTCGTGCATAAGCAAACACAAACAGACACATACACATACAGAGACAGACACACTCACAAGCTTCGAAGTTGACATATGACCTTAACTAACCAAATAACTTTATACTTGATCAAAGAGGCCAGATGTAGAGGATATATGCCACTTTTTAGGGATTTGCCGGAGAGTATTCTTGACTCAGCTTAAATTTTGTTGTGACGATGTTACCTCGCTCTGATGATGTCCGTCATATGACAGACGAAAGCTTAGCACCTTTTCATCGGAATCGAGGGAGATTACCTCGGAAGCAGTGTTAGCATGAATCTTCAAGTAAAACCAATCGACAGCTAATCAAGAGGAATCCGCCGTCCTCTTCTGGTGGAATCGACCTTCGAATCTCTTCACCTAACACTTTCACTCGAAATGGAAGTAGGCTCAACAATTATGAAATAAGAGATTTCTCGAAACCCAACTTTTCTTTGCATATATTGCGAAGAATCAAGTCTTGAGGTCAGGTGCCAGTCAAAATGGGCAAATCTGAATGGTGAATAGAGGAGAATTTGGCGTCGGGTTGGGAGCAAAGATTTTACAGTGAGGACAGGTATGAATCACTAAAAGCTAGTTCTTTGGAATTATGGAATAATAAGTTATTTTAACAAATATTGGAATTATTTTCAATGCACCTCAAGTAGATCAACTACTACTGTCTAAAGCACCAATAGATCTATGATAAACTTTCATTATAAAACAATATTTACTGATATTAATTTTTTTATATGGCATAACTTCCTGGACTAGGAGGCATGAAGATGGTGTGGGCTTTTGTGTTGTCGCAGTCTCCTTTTGTTGTATAGAAGTTGTTTGACCTTGTTTTCGCAGCTCGGTCATATTGGTAGGAAGACTTAAAGGAACGCACCTAGTCCGGAGTCCATTGTCTGCGTGATCATTTCCAAAGTTGAACTGTGGACATGGTACATTCCCAAACGTTTCACCGGCATTGTAGTCGGCATCGTCAGTGAGTATCACCATTCTTAGCACCATACAAAAACTCGTCAAAGAGACAAGTGAAGCCGATCCTTTGACCAAACGTGTACTAAACAATTGTGGTATCATCCCTTTTGCCCTGAGTTATTCGCGTTTCCGGTAGCATCCTATCATGCCTTCACTATTACAATTTTGTACCGTGTTTATTTAGATATAGTCTGGTATGCTTCTTTGAGCGACATGACACCTTCACACTCCAACTGTCGTTCTCACCCCCTTCCCCGCCCCCTTCATCCTGTGTAGGGAACGTTGATTAGAGTCTGCTTTAGTATTATGCAGTCCTCCTTCCTAGTCTTATCCCAGTCTCTTACTCCGTAAAATT